CTCTCTCTCCCCCCAATTTTTTTTTATTTTTTTTTATATTCTTTATTTTCTCGTGCATAGATAAATAAATAAATGTAGGCACCACCCATAGCTAACTTTTAGCTAGAATTAGGTGGCCCTGAAGTGACTGTTCTTTCTTTAACTCACTGTGATAACTTTATAAGAATTCTCCATATTTTCTAAAGACGTATTGTCTATCGTTAAAATAGTTATCCTCCAAAGCATGTTGTACCAGGAAAAAGAAATTTTAAATGTGCACTGTTTTGGAATTGATTGTTAATATATATATTTATTTTATTTTTTTTTTCCCTCATGTACCCGATTTGCAGATTGAGTTTTGAAAATGGGGGCATTTTTGGATAAACCAAAAACTGAAAAACACAATGCCCACGGATCAGGAAATGGCTTGCAATATGGACTTAGCAGCATGCAAGGCTGGAGAGTTGAAATGGAGGATGCTCACACAGCCGTGGTGGGTATACCTCACGGCTTGGAAGACTGGTCCTTTTTTGCGGTTTATGATGGCCATGCAGGATCACGTGTGGCAAATTATTGCTCGTCGCACTTATTGGAGCACATTACAGACAACGAAGATTTCAGAGTTGCAGAATCTTCAGGATCTGCTATTGAACCATCTGTAGAAAATGTTAAAAGTGGCATTCGAACTGGATTTTTAAAAATCGATGAATACATGCGCAACTTTGCTGACCTAAGGAATGGCATGGACAGAAGTGGATCTACTGCTGTGGCAGTCCTAATTTCACCTGGTCACATGTATTTCATTAACTGTGGGGATTCTCGAGCTGTACTGTTTAGGAATGGGCAAGTTTGTTTTTCAACACAGGATCACAAACCTTGCAATCCAAGGGAGAAAGAGCGAATTCAGAATGCTGGTGGCAGCGTCATGATCCAGCGTGTCAATGGGTCATTGGCAGTTTCACGTGCCCTAGGGGACTATGATTACAAGTGCGTTGATGGCAAGGGACCTACAGAGCAACTTGTTTCTCCTGAACCCGAAGTCTATGATCTTCTAAGAGCAGAGGAAGATGAATTTATTATATTGGCTTGTGATGGCATATGGGATGTCATGAGCAATGAGGAGCTTTGTGAGTTTGTGAAGTACAGGCTTGAGTTAACGGATGACCTTGAAAAAGTATGCAATTCAGTAGTGGACACCTGTTTACATAAGGTAAGTGAATTGTGTAGTAACAGTAGCCGTATATTTAAAGAACTCTTCAAGCACTATTTAACTACAGGATCTGCTGGACACCACTTCCTTACTTCACTACTTCAATGGACAACCGGAAGCTTCTAAACATGAACTTCATTTAGTCCTCCTGAGCTAAGCCCAACACCACCAAGCTTAACTCGAAGAGGTAGAAGCTCTCTGCTTGAAGTAGTGGAGGTGGGGAGCGGCGCTTGGCTGACCCTAGGTTAGGAGTCACAGTTGTACAACAGTTTGACTCTTCACAACGGCCCAATCCACTATAGCATGTTGTAATTGTCCTTGAGCTTGGATTGTTCCTTTAAATGCTGAACGCTTGTTGTTTGTCCTCGGCTCCACATTTTTGATACAATTTAGTTTCCTTTTAAAAATGTTGTGCTTGATCTGTCTCAGTACATCGCTGCTTTCAGTTTTATATCTTGGTTTTTGTGTTTACAGCACTCTTATCTTTTTCTGGTTAGGCAATAATTGGGAAGCTTTATAGGTATCATCCGGTTTATTTACTTTTCTTATTCATACAGAGCCTGGAAAAGTCATGAATTGACCAAGAAAGTGTTCTTGTCCTTATAAGTATTGCCAAAAAGGTGGCTCACTTCCCGCCCCCTCTCTCCCCATGGTCCATATCTAGTTTAGTGAATTACATGTTATTATGTGCTGTTAATTGAGAAACCTTTTTTTAAATTAGCTGTTTTTGACAGGTTAGTAAGTTCTAGCTGGTCAATCTAGTGTGCTTATTTCTGTTTTACTTTCTAAAAGCTGAGACTCTTCTAGTTTTGATTTATCTGTAAAGCTACTTGCAGCATATCCTGCTTTATGTGAAATACCCTCTGTTATGTGTCTCTCAAATGATTACAAGTTGTGGCAAACATTTTTGAGGCTGTGCATAAGTTTCAGCAGAAATCTAGTTACCGTATATACTCGAGTATAAGTTGACCCGAATATAAGTCGAGATCCCTAATTTTACTCCAAAAAACTGGGAAAACTTATTGACTCGAGTAGGGTGGGAAATGCAGCAGCTACTGGTAAATTTCTAAATAAAATTAGATCCCCCAAAAATTCGATTAATTGAATATTTATTTACAGGGGGTGTGTGTGCGTGTATGTGTGTGCGCGCGGTGGGAGGGGATGTGTATGAGTGCAGTGTGTGGGAGGGGGCTGGCAGGAAGCATTTACTTACCTTTCCGTCAGCTCTCTTCTCTCTCGTCCGGTCAGCTCCACTGTATGTCTCGCGATGTGACTGCCGCGCGGAGCGTTACCATGGTAACCCATGGCAACGCTCTGACCCCTCAGCTCTCGCGAGACTTGCAGGGGAGCTGACCGGACCGGAGGAGAGAGCTGCAGGAAAAGTAAGTAAACGCTTCCTGCCAGCCCCCAACAGGACCACCGGGTTTATAATGAGCCCGGCGGTCCTTGTCTGTATTAAGGCAATGTAAGTTGCCATAATACAGACACTCGCGTATAAGACGGTTGGGGTTTTTTCAGCACAACAAATGTGCAGAGAAACTCGTCTTATGCTAGAGTGTATACTGTATGTATTTCTTCTGCTAGTTGTGACTGGTTAATTTGTGTGGGTTAACAGGTTTAATGGTGTTTGACTTGTGGCACATGAAGTGCTACATTTACGAAGCCATGAGTATCTATGGCATTAAATTACATTTCAAAAGCAGAGTAGGTATACAGCATTGATTTGTAACAGGGTTCCATTTATTTAACTTAAAAGAACACTATAGTCACCTAAATTACTTTAGCTAAATAAATCAGTTTTAGTGTATAGATCATTCCCCTGCAATTTCACTGCTCAATTCACTGTCATTTAGGAGTTAAATCACTTTGTTTCTGTTTATGCAGCCCTAGCCACACCTCCCCTGGCTATGATTGACAGAGCCTGCATGAAAAAAAAAAACTGGTTTCACTTTCAAACAGATGTAATTTACCTTAAATAATTGTATCTCAATCTCTAAATTGTATTTTAATCACATACAGGAGGCTCTTGCAGGGTCTAGCAAAATATTAACATAGCAGGGGATAAGAAAATCTTAATTAAACAGAACTTGCAAGAAAGCATAAATAGGGCTCTCTTTACAGGAAGTGTTTATGGAAGGCTGTGCAAGTCCCATGCAGGGAGGTGTGACTAGGGTTCATAAACAAAGGGATTTAACTCCTAAATGGCAGAGCATTGAGCAGTGAGGCTGCAGGGGCATGTTCTATACACCAAAACCGCTTCATTAAGCTAAAGTTGTTCAGGTGACTATATAGTGTCCCTTTAATAATTTGTTAAAAGAATTAAATTTCTGCTGGTACAGTCAAACAATACTTGTTGTTCGTTTTAAGGGGCACAGTTTGTAGGTGTGTATTATTTTTGGGGTTATTCGTACAAAGCATTTAACATATTAGAACTGGCTCTACAAGAAAATTAAGATATGATCAGAATATTTTAACTATAGATGGGAAATAGTTATGCTAATGACTTTTTTAAAATTTATTTTCTTTTTCTTTTTTTTTTCTTTTTCTGGGCATATTGAACTTAAAGGGAAATTATCATCACGAGCATAATTACATTAAAAAGCCTGCAATGACATACTATACACACCAGATAAGCTACATTAAAGGGACACTATAGTCACCAGAACAACTACAGCTTATTGAATTTGTTCTGGTTAGTAGAATCATTCCTTTCAGGCCTTTTGCTGTAAACACTGCTTGTTTCAGAGAAAATGTGTTTACGTTACAGCCTAGTGATAACTTCACTGGCCACTCCACATTTAGCTGTTAGGGATCCTTCCTGGGTCATGGCTGCCTAAAATGCATCCAAACATTCAGTGTCTCTTCCCTCTGCCTGCAGACACTGAACTTTCCTCATAGAGATTCATTGATTCAATGAATCTCTATGCGGAGATGCTGATTTGGCCAGGGCTGTTTGCATTGTGCTGGCTCTGCCCCTGATCTGCCTCTGTCAGTCTCAGCCAATCTTGTGGGGAAACATTGTGATTGGATCAGGCCACCACGTCTGATGATGGCAGTGGGCAGATCTAAAGGAAACCGGGACAAAATAAGCAGCTGCAGACTTGAATACAAGTAAGAGTTTACTATATTTAGGGAGGCATGATGGGACCAGGATGGCTAGATGGTGGTTTTAGCCCTATAGGGTCAGGAATACATGTTTGTGTTCCTGACCCTATTCTGCTCATTTAAGCTGTTAAGGCAGTCTTTGT